GCTGAGGAATCTTGGAGACCATCTAATCTAACTCTCTCATTTTACAAATTTAGAAACTGAGACCTCACATCATTCAAGCAATTCACTCCATGCTACACAGCTTATAATTACAGAGCCAGGACCCAACTAAGACACCCTGGCCTTTATTACTCGGTCATTTGCACTCTGACACTGTGTTGCCACCTAGATGATAAGCACACCGGTTCCTTGCCAAGCACAGTTCTGAGCTCTCTCAGAAACCTGCTCTCAGTTAATCTTCATATCAACTGTATGAGGAACACAGTCCTCTGCATTAAATATCATACCTGTGGACACACAGCAAGTATGCAGCATTACCAAGATTCCATCTTTCCACTGTGTTATACCATATATAGTAAACACTCTGCATTTTCAATTATCCTTGACAATTGTTTTCTTTCTTTCAGCTGTGCTTTTCCAAGTAAGGAAATTCCAGCATTTAACACTTTTGGTCTAGGGAAGAAGCATAGTTTTGTACAAATGTTCTAATCGTAACTATCTGATAGCAACAATGGCAGCAGCTAACCCTTACTGAGCATTGTAGGCCGTTTAGCACTGGGCAAAGGGCTTTGTGTTGATCTCCTTTAACTTTCACAACAACGGGGTGAAATAAAGAGCTAACCTCCATTTTACAGATGTAAAAACTGAGCTGAAGAGTCCATCCACCCCCAGAAAGAACCTAATAAAGAATCATTTGCTTGTGGTGATGCCCCAAAAAAAAAAAAGTGAACTTCTATTATTCATGGAATTGGAAAAGAGAAAATAGGTGAAAATTTTGAAAAACAACATTTATTTTCTTCCTCACATTCAATACCCCAGTCACAGTTAAACATATTAAGTAGGCAGTTTTCCTCTGAAGGATTTCTGACTTAACACATACTCTCTCTTCCTCAAGGGTTGACTTTCAAGAAAGTCCTGAGAGCCCAGGGGTGCAGGCATATTGTGGGGTAAGAAACACACTCTACAATAGAGTGGGCGGTGCTCCTCAAGGTATAGGGCCTTCCTGGGAATTTGGAGTCCCTTCAGGTAATTTTTGACGTGAGGAATGGAAAGAAAAGCAGTAAAGATAGTGTTCAGCAAGGGAGATGAGAGACAGCTGAAGTCAGTACAGAAGGGAGAGTCAACCATATGTGGCTTAGAACCAAATCACACAGAATGTCACTGCTAGTCCACTGAGCTGCCAAAAGTTGGGTAACACAATATATTGTTGGAGATGTGTGAGTGTATGTGTGACCATATGTTTTTAAGATGGAATGACCCCCGAAATGTTTCCTGCATGGTGTGTGAATTCAGGGCACACTAGTGCAGGCAAGCCTCTGTGAAATGGAAAGGGGTTAGCCAGGGACAGCTGGCTTTTGCAGGTCGGGACAGAGACTGGCAGAGACAACTGCATGGCAGGTGGAGCAGGGAGGGGGTGGGCACATAGTACTGAAGGTGAGATAAGCTGGTTGTGTCCAGAGACAAGCATGCTGGCCTGGCTGTGAGAAACAGTATGCTCAGTGAAATGGCAGGATGGTCAGAACTGAGTTTGAACCCTCTCTTTGTCCAGCACTAACTGGCTGTGCAATTTGGGGCAAGCGATTTAGACTTCCTCAGTCTCAGTTTCCTCCTCTGTAAAGACAAAATCTATTTCCTGAGACTGTGGAGAGTGTGAAATGCATAACATGCTTAATAACTATCCTTTTCTCTTCTTCTTGATTGGTAAAGAGATGGTGGAAAGCCACGTGCTAGGCCCTGCATCTGGGTGTCTTCCCCATATGATCTTCTTACTCTGTAAAAACCCTCCAGGAGAGATTTTATTTATCCTCATTTCAGATGGGAGGTGAAAGAGATTCAGGAAGGTTATGTAACACTTAAGGTCACAGAGCTGGTCTTTAGCAAAGGAGGAAGAATCAAAACAAGGACCATGAATGTTTGACTATGTGTGGCAGCCTCCTGACCAATGGAAAAGATATCAGTGAAAGGAAACCTCACAAGATGGGTTGAGAGTTAGCAATGAGATCAGTGTACTCATTTGCTTGATAGGTCTTAGGGAATTCTTCTGGGTAAAGCTGATGCTTTGCCATTTTCAACCAGACCCACTCTACACTTCTAGTTACTCACCGGAGAAATGAGTGAAGTTCAAGAAATTCACATTCTTGCCCCACTTTCCTCACCTATACAATGGAGTTTAGACTACATGACCTTTGAAGTCATTCCTAGCTCTAAAACACAGGTGGGTAGAACTTACAAGGACAGGGACACCATACAACCATCCTCAGAGCCCAAATGTGAAGCCTCTTACAGTAGAAATCCTCTCGCCCGAGGAGTCATTAAATCAGAGAATCCTAGAATAGTTTATAAATGTTCTTAAATTCTTTATTTTAATTCAAAATACCTGAATGTACATTCATTCAATTTCATTGATAAGTGTCTTTCTTCAAGACCAGGTTACGCAGAGAGAACGCAGCAATGAATTATGCAGCCAATTTAACTATCTCCAGGATGCATCATCTCCATTTCCAGTGTGAAGTTCCTTAAAGTGGAAGAAAACTCAAAGTGGTTGCAAATAAATCCAAGTGCAGACTCTCTCTGGATTTCTGTGTTTTTCACCGATCTTTCGTAGTTATTTCTCTCACACTTAATTTGACAGCAAATTTTTAGTGACTCACCTCCATGGAGTCTTTTTAAAGTATTCAACACAGTTTCCCTAGAAACAAGAATGTTATTTCTTTTCACATTTACCTTCCAGCAGTTTAATTAAACTGTAAGTCAGATTTTGTCATTCTGCTTTAGCTCCTCCGATGGCTCACCCACCTGACTGGAAGGACAAGGTCCCAGATGCCCTGTCTCCTACCTACCTCTCTGACTTCATCTCCTGCCATCCTCCTCCTCGGAGTCACGTGCGCCAGTCACTCCGACCTCCACACACTTCTTCAGGATTCACACTTGCTGTTTCCCATTCTCCAAAGTCCTCCTCCCCTGGACATCTAGGTAGCGAGCTCTTATAATCAGGTCTTTGTTCAAATATCACCTTCTCGGCGAGGCCTTCCTTATCACCCAATTCCAACTAGTCATCCTCACCCCCATCCAGCCTCTTCTACCCTATATATTTCCCTCCATGGTACTCATCTGTCCTACTATGTACTTTACTCATTAGAATTCGAGCTTCATGAGGGCAAGATTTTGTCTGTTTTTTCACTGATGCATTCCTAGTTAGCTTACACTAGCACGTCCAGTTGTCACTCAGTAAATGTTTGGTTAATAATTATAAGTGTAATAAGTGTATTGCCTTTCTGATTAAATTGCATAACCACAACAGTAAGTACATCAGAGGTCCAGGAACAAACATAGCAGAATCTTGGTAAACTAAGAAGCCAACTGGAGGGGTCAGGACCGTGCTGATGACTAGAGCACAGCCTCCCATCCCCGGGCAGCCAGGAGCCTTGGCTCTGCCAGGGCACGAGAAGCAGAGGGGAGCAAGATCATCTCTTAAATGCAAATGGACTAGACAGCCTCTCCTTTAACTTAACCAAACTGACCTCTCCAAGTACTTGATGTTTTCATATTCAAATGTATACAAAACAATGTCAAATATAAAAGATGGTCTAGCCACTTTCCTTCAGATAAGGGCAGAACAACAGGGAAAAAAAAGATGGATTGTTTCTAATAATCAATTACCTTTAGCAAATCTCAATCTTTCTCTCACCCTTGGTTCTTCATTGAAAAGGGGGAAGGTGGAAACTGATACGTGGCCTGCTTATTTCATTGATCCATTATAAGTATCAGATGGATCAACAGCTATGAAAATATATTGAAAAATTATGAAGCATTCTAGACAATAGGCAATTCTCTTTGTATTAACGTGAATACAATATAGACTTATCTATAACAGCTACTATAGTTCCTCAAAACTGATGATATACTTTACAGCACATTGATTTTTAAATGCATCCTAAAATGTATTAAAAAAATAAACAGAAGGGAAAGTAGACTTCTCAGGGCATGAAATGAGAAAGACAGGGAAAATGGCTTTCTCCTGACTCTTTAATAGAAAAATATAAGGAAGAAAAAAGTCCCACAAATCTCCAGCAACTATATTACATAAAGTTCAGATTGAAGAATATTACTGTAAACACCTACAATTATCTAGACTCTTAGGTATTTCAGATATTGCTCATCTATTTCAACACCACAAGGATAATCCAAGATGACTTACTAATATCACACATGTCAATAGCAACTTGTGATGGAAATAAGCAAACCCTTTCCAACCATTCAGTTCTGTTTTTATTACATTTATTAAACCAGAATAAAAAAAGCAATGAAGAATGACTTGTCACACCATTTATTAGAGTTGATGGAGCATAGACAGTTTTTTTCAATAAGGCTTTAACACACTGTTATGCACCACAGTACATTATTAATGAAAAGAAATGCATGAGATTTGCCTCAGCTTTCCGCCCCACCCCCGTCATCCTGACTTTAAATTCAAAATTAATTCTATGCTATGTGGCAAATTTTCAGCAATAAAATGTTAATTTGTTTGTTGTTTACCAAATCTTTTTATAATTCAAAGCAATAGTTAAGAATCCTCCATATTGTACTAATTTTTATAATCATACCTTTCTTGGAGGGGGTTCAAAAGAAGAAGCAAATGCAATGGGAAGATAAACAAATTGTGCCCTAGTTCATATCTAACAAGAGAATGGGACCTAATTTTCTCTGATTGAAAAAACACAAAGGACAGCCTTGGAATGCAAATTGTTCATTGAGTGTTTGAACTTCTTTTTCAATATCTGAGTATCCGAATGGAACTAATTCACTCTGTAAAAGGTATTAAGTAATTGAGTATGATCGTGCCAGGATGAGGGATAATCCTCAAACTGTGAAGGAAAATAAACATATTTTAGAATGATAGGGTCATCTCACTCACTGAGTAACCTCAGTCAAGCATTTTACATTCAAAAGAAATAAAATGAAAATATTAAAAAATGACCTACCTCCAACAAGGAACCCTGATAGACACAAGCACCTGTGGAGAAAAACAAAACAAGAATGAAAAGGGGTGCATAATAAACCAATTGGCACTGCCCCAGCAGACTTACAGGCATACTGGATCTATGTGCATCATACTCAGCATACTTTCCAAAACCTAAAAAACTTGAGCATTCTACCCCAGGGGAAATAATCCCATATACCAAAGCAAGATTTCTTGGACACACATGAGTGAAAGCATCATTAAAACTTAGCATTTGAGTTTTAAAATACATGCATTTATAATGGCATGCTATAAATACAGTGTCTATTTTCATTTGTGATAAATCAGCAAAGCTTCCATAATCTGGACCCAGGTACTTATCCAGACTTCTCGGCTACCCTTTGCTTTACACAAATTTCCCAGTCCAATCCAAGAGGCCAACTTAGGATCCTGTCATAATGCTTTCATATCTCAATGCCTTTGCTCATCTGTGTTACTGGCAGAAGATGCATTTGGTCTATTCAAGTTCATTGAGCATGATTCTATCTCCTTCATGAAGCTTTCCAGCCCATAAGATTATGCCCTTTCTCCTTTGAGCTCATAGCACTTTGTGCCTGCATCATCGGTTTGAGAATTCATTCTTGTGTACTTCCTTGTGAAAGCCTTGCTAAGGATGTGGAATGGTTACATCAACCCCACTATCTGCAAACATAGTCTTAGGACAGGGACTCCTTCTACTCTGTGTTTTCCTAACTCTTCACCTAGTTGGCGTCCGCTTTGCTATACAGTTGATTATCTATTTCATGCCTTTAACACAGTATGTTTCTCTTTAGTAATATTAAAATATTTTATAGCAGAGTGGCATAGACTGTAATTACTTGAAAAGGACTCTTCCATTGAGCTCCTGACGTCAAAGACTTTCACTCTCTTTGCATTCAATTTTTTTTTTCTAATGGGCTGGGTACAAACTAATACATCTTTATATTTTCCACTCATTAGGCACCAAATAAAAAACAACAGATAGATGATTTGCTTCTAAATGGAAAAGAAGGCTGAATTTGAATGGGACAGCCTATATATTATGAATAAATAGTGTATAATAAAATAAATCTTTCTAAGTTTTATATTTGAAAACAATGTGAAATTACAATGCTAATTTTAAAAAAACATACACACATTCTCAACCAATATTTGAACAGCACAGCAGGTGTTGATTTAACCTAGAAGCATGTTGGCAGTATGCTAACAGCTACCTTCTCAGAAAGTGAGGCTGCAAAACAGATTGGAATAGCAGAAGCACATCTTGACAATGTGCCACACTGGGTGTCCAAAGAGAAAAGGACACATTTTACTACAGTGTTTGACCTCTAACATATCATTCATGAAGTCTCAAAAATATTAACTTCTCAGAAAAGGACTGGTCTACCTTATCCACCAATAACAGAATTCAGAACAATCTTCAAAGAAAATGAGGTGGCTATTTACACTTGAGGTTTGAATCAAAGATCTCTGCTGGCAAATTTACTGAAATAACTTTTGTGACCTTGATATTCAAATAAGAATAACTTGAGATAAAAAATTTGGGAAGAAATTCTTCCTGATTTATTTTTCTTTAACAAATCCTGGTCCCAAGACTTAATACGTATGGTATCTAATTAAAAAAAGATATATATTCATATATGCATAAAAAGGGTGGGGCAAAAGTAGATTTGCAGTTGCTTTACGGAAAATAATAATTAATAAATAATAATATAATAATAAACTGTGTTTTTTACATACTCACAACTGTAAACTACTTTTGTCCCACCCTGTACATAAAATAATCATATGCAGCTCAAATAAATATATATCAAAACAGTTCAATTTCTAAATTAAATAAGCATATTTCATTACTTCTAATGTTTTAAAAAATAAACATACATAGAGATCATCCCCTGGGTACAATTTTACAAAATTTAGCCTTTAGAATGAACAACAAAATTTAACCATTGGAATATGACCATCCTCCACTAATTGTATTGCCCTCCTCCATAGCATTATGTTACAAAAGCCAGTATCTATTTAAAGCTCCAAAAGAAATCAAGTATCTTAAGACGTATCCACGTACCCACATCCAAGCCCACTTCTGGAAGTTTTAGATGGATATTGTAAGTTCATGGTAACATAAAAAAAATAAAGTAGCATTGAGTGTGTGGCACCATATACACACTTGTTTAAGCCACACCTTTGCTAGAGAAGAGACTCAGGTCAAAAACGGTGTGTAACTGCTGGTAAATTTCATCATTAGGAAAAGAAAATAATTTGGGTCACTCCGCAATGTACAATTCCAAAAGAAATAAGCTTTGCCCTCTGAGGGCTTTCCTAAAACAGAGCAGCTCTACCCGGAAGGCAACTGTACAAATGAGTCTCCATTAACACAGCTTCCAAAACCTCATTTCTACTCTCCAGAGAAAATAAAGCATTCCAGTGATGCCCAGTCCTATCAAACATTTATCACCACCCATGGCCAGGTGCAGTCCTCCGAGAAAACATATTTCTCCCTCACTAGCACGTGCTTCACTCCCACCAACAGATGAAGTCAGGAGGCCTGCTGGCATTGGCTGCAGGGGGCAACTTCGGGTTCCGACCCAGAGCAGAGGCCTTTTCACTCATCAATCAATTGATGTATCATGGAAAACAAAATTACTCACTTCACTCACCACTGTTTTTCTTAAGGAGTACTGGAATGATTGCAGCTCTGAGGTTTAAATGTATGACTTTACTTAAACTTTAAAGAGAAGCTCCTCAAGGTGAACTCTGACAGATGGTGCACATCTAAAAGGGGAAGCAGAACTTCTTCAAGGGAGAACAGGAAAAATCAGACAACAGGAGCTGGAGTTCTCTGCCCAAGAACTTTGCCAGTTTCAGAACACCGAATGTAGCTGAGATGCTAGCTAATTGAATTTATAACACCCTAGGAGAAAGCGCATGAGAAGCACAGAGAAGTGATCATATGTGCCCAGGAGGGAGCTGAGGTCCTCAGACCTTCCTCCCATGGGGTTGGCTCCGTTCTTGCAGGTTACATAGGCAAAGGTTTTCTTCATATTCATTTAAATAAGTAAATGTCAGCTTTTAAGCCCTTTTGCACATTATAAAATATTCCTATATAAAATCTAAATTTCCAGAGGAAATTTGAGATAAAAATTTCACCAGTATTTAAGACCCATTTACTATAGAAACTGTAGCTGCTAAACTAAGTAAATTAGAAAGGTAAAATCCAAGGGCTGCAACATATCAGACCCATTTGTTCAAGAAAATTGTGGCAGATCTGACCAAAAGATATGAAGAGATGTGGAGAGCATGGTATTGCAAAAGCGTGACTCATTAGGAACAAGCAGCCACAGATGCCATTTAAATGTTCGAGCTTTATGTTGTGTTATAATTCAGCATATGGCTTGTACACTGTGGAATAGTTAAAACAATCATTTTCTGGACTGACAGGACAGCTCATATCCTAATTATTGTCAACCAGAATTCAGATCAACTAATAAAGTAGTTAAAATGAAAATGGGCCAATTGGTGCTAAACTATTCTAAGATGTGGCACATGGCTCTAACTTTGCCATGTGGAAATCCCCTCCCCTCTCCTGAGCCATGTGGTTGGAGAGCTTTATGACCTCTTGTGCCTGAGTAAAATTGAGTGATACTGCCGCTCAAGTCCATAACGGTGAATACAGATAGCTGTGTCCTTGCTAAATACTGTATATGCAGTGGGTAATACTCAAATTCCAATCCCCAGAGAAGAAATCTAATATGATGGAATTAAAACCCTATGACAATGCAATGCCTCTTCATTTCCAGTAGCAGGTAGCTGCCAAATCCAAAAGCTGCAAAGTTGCAATTGCCCCAGATTTTGCTGTGTATAATATGCACCAACATTCTCGTGCGCATTATACATGGGATTATTATACCCATGGTGTGTAATCATTGTACCCATGTATAATACATATCCTTATTTTTCCCTTAAAAATTTGGGCACAAAAGTGTACATTATACATGGCAAAATATGGTATTCAATAGTGGGAAACCCACCAAGGACCAACGCTCACATAATCCTACTGCTACTTTATGGTATTAATGATTTCTAGACATTTAAATTCCTAAAGGCAGGTATTATTAGTTTAAGTCTGTATCACCATAACAGAAATAACCTGACACATAAGCTCTCAATAAAGATTTGTGTAATGAAAAAATGAAGAGACAGACTATTTTTCCCAGCAAATGTCTTCTCTTCCTTAATACTGAGTTGTAAACATTGAGCCTTACACAGAAGGAACTCTCCAGCCAAGAGTGGAATTCAATATGCTGATATACCCTTAAATAAAACGCAGTATCAACTGGTCCTTTTCACTATATTCTGTTAATGTCACTTAAAGGAAAAGCCTGGAAGATTGTGGGATTGGCAAAAGTCACATGAGGCGTGATGGAACACAGGCTAGAACTCAGTTCTTTTAACGTCCAATTCAATAATCTTTTCCTATCCCCAAGTGTTCTATCTAGTGTAAGTACACAGGACTCCCACATCAACCTAACTCTAGGTGCACATCTCCAGAAAATGCCGTGGCAGAACGTCTGATTCAGAAAGCAGCCATGTTCACTAGAAGTTTCTCTGTAACATCTTAATTTTATAAAGTTCTCAAATCGAAGTAGTTTGCCAGCAATAGAAGACAATGTAAGTTATCACTGCCAGTAATTCATTTTTCTTTTAATGATTAAAGTAAAATTCAGAACGAGAATGTTGCAACTGACCACAAAATAAGACAGCGAGTATTGATTATATTTTCCCCTATGCTGGATAATTAGCAAAGATATTTTAGAGCTATCACTTGGCTGACTTCTGCATTTGGTAAATGACAAAACCACAACCACAAAAAATTAGGTGGTCCATTCAAGGTCATAGAGCAGCTTATTGTGGAAGCCAGTCCATCTTAATTCAAAAGAATGTGATTTGGCTACACTCATTCATCTGAACAATATTTTTTAACACCTCCTGTATAATAAGAGCTGAGTTTGGAGATATAAGAATAACTAGGACCCATCCAAAGGCCTCAGTGACTACACAACTAAGTGAGGAAGACAAAAACTGCACCTTTATGAACGATCATTGTAGAATCATTAACTGTTGCACTAGAAGCATATGACATGTTCTCTGAGCACTGAGAAGAAAACTATAAATTCTGGAATGTCCTGGTTAGCAAAAGTGTCATAGAGTATGTCACACCAAGAGAAGCACACATGTGAGTGAATACTTCTTTTCCATTTTTAAAAATAATTGCCAAGGATAATAAGAAAAACTTGAGGAAATCTCTGAGATACTTAAGTTTTCATGCTTGCTCTCAATGCTCTTATTTTTAAGAGAAAAAGAAAACTCTGAAACACCCAAATCAAAGGTGTCATCTGATGACAGCGGATTTTTGCCTGTAGAACTGATAGCCCTTAAATTAATTAAATGAAATTATGTGAAGTGCTTACCTAGTATAGTGCCAAGCAAATAATAGGCGCTCAATACATGTCCTTATTCATTCATTATTCTATAAGTATTATTATAACTTGGATGGAAATTCTCAGGCATCTATAAATTCAATTCGTAAAATTCTAGGATGCTCTGAAGAATGGGTGAAATACTAAGGAGCAACGTTTCCATATAATCTTTGGAGGAATAGCGCCCCTTGCGCCCTGCTCTCCTCCTCCCCCATCAAAAGACTTCGGAGTTTCTTAAACTTTGCCCAATATACCAACCAGTCTTCCAACGAGTGAACCCTGCAGGCTCTTAATACTAACGACTTTTGTTATTCAAAAGATTCGGTTTTGTAAAACTGCCTCATTCCAACTGCCCCCTGGTGAGCTATGAGAGAGAGAGAAAGCACGTTTTCCGAGCTACTGGGATATGATTCTGAAAAAGAAACTGCCACCACCAAATGAAAACGTAATTTTTTTTTAAGTTTCCAGCTCAGATTTGGGTGGCCTGTATCGACTCTCCCATCTGGTTTATTATCACAATTAAGCCCTATAAATTTTATTTTTTAAGTATGCACATACACGCACATATCCAATGAAGACATGTTTCTACAGGTTTTGCTCTGTTTTAAGGAAGGCTGCGCAGGTCCCAGGCGCGCTTTTCGTGGGAATAGAACACACTTGACATATTTCCCGGGAGCGTGCGGCAGATGGTACCTTTTTACCCACGGGAAAGCCCCCACTGCTATGCGGTGACTTCCAAGGCCACGCCACTTTCTCCAGGCAAACTAGCTAGGGAAAGGCACATGCTCTGGTAACTGGAGGTCGACCCAAGGCAGGGCTTTGTCCTCCCCGAGGCCTCCCGCCGCCCCCAGTCCCGCGCCCGGGCTTGGCACCCACGAACCACCCCCACCCTGCACCGGGATGGAGAGGGCGCCCCGCCCCGCTCCGCGCCCGCCGCCGCCGCCGCCGCCCAGGCTGCAGCTCTGATTCGCAGCCGGGCAGGTGAACTCTTTTTCCCGCAGCTGGATGAATAATGAATGGAGCCGGGAGGGGAAGCAGAGAGCCGGGTGCTGTGGATTAAGCCGTCTTCCTCCCAGCCCGTCGGCTCCCTTCCCCCTCGCTAAACGCTAGCTCCGCGACTTTCCCGGCTCCTCGGAGCAGGTGGGAGCTCAAGGCGCCTCGCGCCCCTGGGCCCGCCATCCCATGACCCCCAAAATCTTGATTTACTTAATCTTTCATTTATTCCCCTGCGCCAAGTTTGCTTTTGCTATCATGGCGACAATTCCCACAGCCTCCTGCTTTCTCTCCCCCAACTCGGGGGTTTTCCACGTAGGTTTGAGCCCCGGAGGAAAACTGGGAGGCAGAGGGCGAAGAGAATGAAACTAAACTTATTAACCACTTGTTTTCCGGGGCAGGCGTACCTCTCCGTACTAGGGAGATTTCTTTTAGTGTCACTGAATTGCCTACATCCAAAACACGCTCTAACCAGCTAGTTATAAAATGTTCACTGGACTTTATGGGGAGACTTATTGGGACGAGTGGGGCGGGAGAGCTACGGGGGCTTTAAGGCGTTGATTGCACCTTTCATAAGAGCAGAAGTATTTTTACACAGGTAAGAGCAATTGCTTGCTCCGCACCTACGCTCCATGCAGTTGCTTTCCATTGAGGGAAGTGGGGAAAAAGAGAATCCACTTTCAGAGATACCACCTCAACAGAACACCCACCCACGCAAAAGCACTTAGGGCAAAGAAGGAGGCGGGAGACTGGTGATCCGAATGCGAAACAATAGGAAGTAGAAATCTCAGAAAAAGCCCACTCCAGTTCCACTCCCACCCACCCACCCATCCCCAGAAAAACTTCCATCTGACCCACGATACCATAAACCCTGTGGGTATTTGGAAAAGCATAGTCGCGCGCGCGCGCACACACACACACACACACACACACACACACTCACCCCGCCGCTCTCTCACCTTCAGAATGATGAGGCAATACTGCAAATTCCGCCAGTGCTAGGGCCACTCCGAGCCACACTTTGAAGACACCCATCGCCACTTAGACACCCACGCTGGAGGAGCCCAGCTTTCAGCATCCAAGAACCTGCTCTCGGCCAAAACGCTGGCTTCAGCGCCCGGATTTGGGCGCACAGAGGGAGGGGGGCAGCGGGCGGTTACCTCCAGGAAAATGAGGCGATGCACCGGCCGAGAGCTACGCTCACATTAGCCCAGGAGGCGCCGGGGTGGGCGGGGGATTCAATTCACTCACTGCCCAGCTCTCCAGCAAAGCAGGACGCCAATGTGGGCTGAGCTTAAGAGAGTGAAAGAGGAGGCAGAGTGCAGTTCTCCGTGGCGGTCTCGCCGGAAAGTTGTGGGTCACCGCCTGATCGGACCTCCTAGCATTTCCCTCTGGCCTGACCCTTCTGCTCGGGGGTCCCCCACCGCGGAGGTCCCCGCGCCGGTTCGTCTGTAGCAGCTTTTGAAAGTTCGCTTGACAATCTACGTCGGCTCTGTGTCCGCAGAAGGGGTAGCCTGGAGCCCGGGAAGACCCACACACCCCTCCGCGGGCCACTGGGCTCCGCGGACCTCGGCCGCCGGGGGCCTCTCGCAGGAAACTTTGCGCGGCGTTGCGGGCTGCTTCCCGGGACTCGGCGGCGCTGCAACCACACGGTGCGGCCTCGGGCTGCGCTCCCTGCAGCAGGCGGTTCAAAAGCTTCGGAGGAAAGACCCTGGTGGCGGCGCGGGGGGGCGCTGCTGATACTTTCTCGCCCCCGCCCTTCTCCCGGGTGAGGAGGGCTGCGGGGGCGCGGCTTGCTCCACGCCGGCAGCCACCTCCGCACCGAACGCCGGCGGAGCTGGTCTGCGGGGTCGAGGTGTGATTACCGGAGTGGAGGAGAAGCCGTAATTTTAAATGCACGGAGGAAAGAGCTACAAGGGCTGGAAAGAACGCCCGAACTCAATGCCACTCGCACCAGAGAGCCCGGAAACACACAAAATAAGGCCCCCTCTGGATCCCTGCGTTTAAAAGACACACGCTCCGCCTTCCTCCACCTTCCTCTCCTCCGTCCTCTCTCCCTGGGTCGGCGTGAAAATGGACCCAGGGACTCAAAGCTTTGGCAAAGATTCCAGAGAGTCACGTGGGGACGGGAAAAGCGGGAGGGGGGTGTGGTGGTGAGGGGAGGCCGAGAGAGCAACCTGATCCCCTTATTCGTTCTGCTGGAGTTCAGATCGCCTTTGTCTGGAGCGGGATCAAAAGTGGTTACACCGGGGAGGGGTTAGGGAGTGCGGGAGAGATGGCGTGGTCCATGCTCAGGCACGGCTGAGGATCCGCGAACTGGGTCCACACCCCTCACTTAGGGAGAGACCCACTCCGGAGGGGTTATGCCCACATTCAAAGGCCCTGGAGTTACCCCCATCTCCCACCCCGCCACTCCTGCTAGACTGAGTGAGAGTAGAAGACCTGATTCGTCTTCCTCGCTCTGGGACCCTCCAGTTGTCGCGTCGTGGGATTAACCAGCAGCCTGGGAAGACCTTGGCTTGCGTGTCCTAGTGGGCCTCCCACTGCGAATGCACCTTTACCTCTCCTAGACCAGGTCTCCAGCCGCGCCCCAAAATGCCAATGACTGGGAAGTAAAGTGTCAGGGCAAGACAAAGTCCTGGGCACACTTGAAGAGCAGAAGCCTTGATTCCAGGTCAGGGCTGAGTAATGGCAGTTTTTTTTGCTTCGTTTTGTTTTGTTTTGTTTTGTTTTCTACCAAATAAAAATCGCTGATCTGAGGTTAAATAAGCATTCTGTAAGATAAGAGTGGTTGCATCCGAAAGATGTTGGCTGGCTTCTGATTGGCCCAGAGAAGAGATCAGAGAAGGTCCCTCCCTTGGTTGACCTGACCTGGGCGAGCCTGTTGGAGGGGATTTTGTCCAAGGAGTAGAGTTTGTCCAAGCAGTGAACGCCAAGAGCTGGAGATCCCACCTTGTTTCTCATTAAACTGTAACTGGCAGATCCCTGTGACTACTATTATTTAACCGGAGCAAAGAGGGAACCTCCAACAAGTGGCACTGATTTTTGGGTACTGAGAGGACCCAGGGGTTGTACAGCTCGCCCTCAGTCTCTCCTGGGCTGTGGTGGTCTTAGGGACAAAGGCCATTTATCAGCTTTGTATATCGGAAAGCACACAGTGAGTGCTCATTAAAAGTCTTGTTGAAAGAATGGACTGAGCAAATTAGTAAGTCCCTGAGAGCAGTGGCCATGTCAAGTGGAATTTGGTTTTAACTCCCACCCCAAAAGGATCCCCCCACCCCTTTTTTATTTAGAAAATGACATTTTCTCAATCCCTTGTAAAGTGCTGTGAAAACTCAGCTTCAAGCACACTCAGCCAACCATGTGACCATCTCTATCCCCTCCTTATAGAAATGTTGTAGCCACCACTGACTGGGAGTAACTTAGACAATTTGTTCTCTCAAGAATCAATTTGATTTTATTAAAAAATTCATACAATCATGGCACTCAAATTAGTCTCAATAAGACATCTGTTATTTCTATGCTAAATGCAAATGTGCTACTTTTTAAAAAGGAAAGGAAACGGAAGATCGGAGGGAATGGAGGGGGGAGAATCGCACCACCAAGTTTCCCCAAATGCACCATGTGCTGTATTTATATATAACGTCCCCCCTCCACCACCAGCCCTGCACAGGGGCACACAGTGGCTCAGGGGCATCATCCTCCCTCTACCCTAATTAGGTAGAGAACTGGTCACCCCAGAGTCCCTGTGCCAAGACCCTCAGGTGACCAACTGGTTGAAAGGGTCAGCCAATAATTCAGTAATATTAGGCATATCTAGTACCCTTTAAGGCCACTTAAATTGAGATATTGGAAAAATAATTATATGAGCATACCCTATTTCATCATGATGGAAGTTTGCGAGTATGCAGCCACTCATAGCTAGCTCATCTCTGTAAGCTGACCTCTCCCTGCGAGTGCTGCATTTCAACACCCGGTGCTTCCAGCGACAGCGAGTTGGCAGTTACCTGTCCAGAGACCCTTGGGTCTGTGTCTTCGGTGCTCTTCATCCACACGTCTGGTTTCCACAGCTTCTGTTAGTGTGTCCCACAGTATCTCCTTGGCTCTTCCCTGCTGTCATCTGTTGACATTTCCTTGGCCTTCTGCTGCCCATCTGAAGGACTGATTTATCAATTCCTGCTGTAAATCATAGTGATAGCAACAATGATAACAGCTAACGCATACTGAGTACTTTGTCCCTAACACTGTACACCTCCCCACTTAATCTTCCAATAGCCTTGTGAGATAGATACTGCTATTATATCCATTTACAGGAGAAACAATTGATGTCCAGAGAGTTAAGTAAGCTGTCCAAAATCAGTCAGCTAATACATGACAAAAAATACTAGAGCAAGCAACTGTAGCTGCAGTAACAGGCAAACCCCCAAATTGCAGTGTCTTAAAACAATAGAGGTTTATTTCTCAATTGCATCCTCCCCCCGACCATAGTGGCCCCTACATTATGTGGCTTCTTGTTGCTAGGCCATCATGGAACACATGCACTGCTTCTGCTACAGGGCAGGAGAGCCGATAGAGGCGCTGCAGTCTTCCTCTTAGAACCCTGTGGCAAGAATAAGACATGACTCAAACCCGAATGCAAGGAGGGCTGGGACCCCCAGTGGAACACATGGCTATTTAGGGAGCTCTAACTGTACTGCTTCACCCCAAGTCCTATGCTCTTAACTCTCTTAACTCTTCTTAGCTACACTAGCGTGCTCGCAGCAAAGCCACAGGTTGAATCTCTGCTAACACGCAGGCTTTGCTGACCTTTCTTGAAGATGCTCATTGTTTCTCCAACCTGCCTTTACTCCACTTTCCTGTCCCTCCACTTCAGTAGAGCATCTCTCTCCTGTTGCTCTTTCCTCTCTTTCTCACTGTGTTCTTTCTGTACAACCTTACTCCACGTACTGAGTCTTCTATCTTTCTGTTATGGGAGCCTTCTCTGATCTCTCACCTGCTCTGGAAGTGTTCCTGCGGTATTAACTGCATTTATTCTTACTTTTAGCATATGAGAATATTTTTGGGGTTTTTTTCTGCTTCAAATAGTTATATCAAGAAGAACGTTTAAATATGTACAGAATATAAACTGAGGGGCTCTGTTATAATCTAACCTCTCCACAAGGATATCCATAGCAAATACATTCTGACACTTTTGCCTGCTTAAGTAATGTAATATTTTTATAAAAATAGGCTCAGAGTTTATATGCTATTTTGTAACCTGCCTTTTTTCATCCCAATGAACAAAATAGTTGGCCACAAGTTTCTAAGCCAAATCATATTGATCTACCTCATTCTCAAGTGCTGCTGGAGTTTATACTGTGTGGATGTGTCTTTACATATGTAGCCAACACTCTTTTGAAGAATATTTAAGTTGCTTCCAATTTTTTGCTGTTACAAATAATACAGCATTAAAACATCTTTATAAAAGTTCTTTGTGTACTTACCTAATTATTTCCCTGGGATAAACTTTTGTAGGTAAAATTTCTGGGTCAAAGGCATTCATATTTTTTATTTTCATACCATCATTTAATCTTTGCAAATTCAAAGGTAAAATAGCATTTTGCTTAATACCACTTATTCGCTTTGTTACCTCAGGCATATTAACCTCCCTGAACCTCAGATTCACTGTCTATGAAATGGATATTTAATAGTGCCAAACTTACAGGACTTTCGTTTGCTTTAAATAAGATAAAAGTGTTTAGCACCATACCTGACACAAGTAACCACTTCACGGATGTTAGACAAGTGAAATACAAGTATTTTTAAAATCAGCATTTCTTTGCTTATTAGTAAGGTTAAACTTGTTCTTATACAATACTTACTGTATTTCTTTGTGTGTGTATAAACAGAGTTTTTATTTTACATAGAATCATAAGGTTTCTTTATATATTCAAGGTATTAATCCTTTTCTATGAATTTGAACAACCCTTTACAGAAAGGGAGTGGCCATTTACACACGTTTGTGGGAAGTGATAGTCTCCCCAGCAGTGTCACTGGAAGGACATGCAAGACAAGACCAAGGGGAAAAAAGGGCTTTTTATCTAGAACTCTTTTACTGGGGTA